AGGCTTGAGCAAATCTGGTCTCAATTTTTATAGTTGTTAGGGTCTTTTTTTACCTATGGCTCTTGCTCCAAATACTTGTAGCAAATTCAATTGACAAGTCTTGATCAAGCCTTGTACAAGAACTTTCGGCCAGATTATAGCTCAGGAATTGTGTAAGAAAATTGAGAAAATCTGAAGATGCTTATCGATAAACTAACTATATTAATTCTTGAGAAAGACTGACACCAGAAGCAAGCTGAATATACTTGTGCAAGACTTGCTCAAGATCTGCTCAAGATCAAATGTTTTCGAATGACCGTTCTTATCATTCTACCCCTCCTATATTTACTATAGGATCAGTGGATCTCATTCAGCTTAACCTTTTAGAGTACAGACCTACTGTTTTATCCATCAAGACAAAACTATTTTAAAATGACCGTCACTGAATCATTACATCTTCAAGTAGTTGTCGGGGAAAAAGTGCTATAAAATATATAACGCATGATGCATCTTGAGCAAATCTTGAGCAAGTCACGCTTCAACATTTGCTGTTAGTTTTTGGTTGACAAATGCTTTAGAAATGAACAAATTACTGAGAATTACGGATCTTGAGCAAATGTTGAGCAAGTTATGGGTAAGTGTCTATTGTGAGTTTCTGATTCAAAAAATCCGTCAGAAAGTTTTTCAATGCACCTTGCATTAGACTTGTCTCATATTCTTCCACTAGATGTCTCGAACTACACTGTTAAAAATTTCTATTGTAATTTTACAAGAAATGTATTGGAAGCTAATAGGCAAAACATTTATTTAAAATTACAATCGGGTAGTAATATTGCAAAACATATGTGAGGTTACTAATTTTACAAGGTTTTGTAATTTTAAAAATATTTTTAGATTAGCTAAGTTTGTAAAATTACAATACTTTCCTTAAATTTTACTTTAATTGAAATAATAAAAAAGAAAGATTTGATTTAATATTTCTTGTCATTTTATTTTAATGAAGCGCTATTAACTAGATTTTGCATCTCACGTAGACTTAATTTTTACAACTCTGATGATATAAAGTGACAAATAATATTTACCCTAACTAAGAATCGAATGCGAGCCGCTTGCTTGCCAGACCGATACTTAACGCCCTACGCCGTACGACCGATAGGTCATTTAACATCTTATTATTCTTACAAGCTAATCCTATGTGGTAGTTGAGCATTACGGCTTATTATTTATTATTTACACTATTTGTGTTATTTGATGCTGTATATTGATGGAAAATAACTAACTTTTACATTATTTATAATTCATTGAATATCATAAAAATTAAAGTCTAACATACTCATTAAAATATATTGATTTGGAAATGATCGTTTGAGCGTAATATTAAAATTTATAAAAGATAAATGATGCCTCGAATTTATTATTACAAATAAACTTAGACTAACAAATTAGTTAAAATAAATATCATGGACATTGTTGTTTTTTCGATACATCAGTCTCATTTTTGTAAAACTTAAAAGTATTGTTTTTAAAATTGGAAAACAGTCAAGTAGAATTACAATTCGTGTGATATAATTAAAATTGTCTGGTAACATTACATTGCAATGTAATTTTACAATGAAAATTGTAAAAATAAAAAAAAGCTTTTTAAATTTTTCATCAGATTATTGTAATATAAATTACAATATTTTTTTTGTAATTTTACATAGAATTGAGAATCAGATGACAAATAATGTTTGGAAAATTAAAAAGCTTTTTCTTAAAAATTGACCAATTGTAATATTACAATGCGTGTTAGGTTTATACATGAAGATATTGTTAATAGTTTATACAGATGTTATTGTTAATAGTATAGATTCAGTAGCTCCAGTAAAAGAATATGTAATTAAAAATAAATAGCAGAATAGTAGATGGTTTAATAGCCATATTAAAAATTTGATAAGTATGAGGGATAATTCTTATAGAGTTTATTTTAAAAAAAGGATAATTGTGATGAAGCGTGGGAAAATTACAAAAGTCTTAGAAATACTGTAGTAAATGAAATAAGAAAGGTAAAAAAAGAATATTATGGGAATTTGATCGATTCTCAAAAAGGTAATTCAAAAAAATTTTGGAAAAATATGAAATCTATATTAGGAAATAAAAGTCAAGTAAAAACTAAATTAGAAATTGTTTTTGATAATGAACTAATCAAAGAAGCTACAGTTATTGCTGATAAATTTAATAAGTATTTTGTTCAAAGTGTTAATCATATTGAAAGGTATAATTATATTGTTAATGACTTTGGGTATGGTGAATCAGTGACAAAACTTGATAAGTTAATAGAAGTTGATGAGAAGGAATTGAATTCTATAATTAAAAACTTAGATAAAAATAAAGGTAAAGGAAATGTATTGTCTTATGAAATAATCAGTAAAATATGGAGTGTAGATAAAATTATAATTACAAAGTTGATTAATTGTAGTTTAGAGTCATCAGAAATCCCGAGTAAATGGAAGAACTCATTGATTCACCCGATACCTAAAGTTAAGGGTACTAATAAGGCAGAAGAGTACAGACCGATTAACACCCTACCTGAATTAGAAAAGATATTAGAAGAAGTAGTTAAAAATAGATTAATAGAACATCTTGATAGCAATAATATTTTAAAAGAGGAACAGTCTGGCTTTAGAGTACAACATTAATGTGAAACAGCATTACAAAAAATAATGTGTGAATGGAGAAATGAGATAGATCAAAGCAATATATGATAGGAGTAATTTTTATAGATTTTAAAAGAGCATTTGAGACGATTGATAGAAATAGATTGTTAAAAAAGCTAAAAATGTATGGTGTGAGTGGTAGTGCACTGGAGTGGTTCAAATGTTACTTAAATGATAGAACTCAACAGGTAAAATTTGGTGAGGCTACCTCTGATAAGATTTCTGTTAATGACGGTGTGCCGCAAGGGTCTATTTTGGGGCCCTTGCTCTTTATTTTATATATAAACGATGTTGTAGATATTGCAAAAAAATATGCCTGTCAATGCAAATTATTTGCAGATGATAAGATGTTATATTATATTACAGCGCTAAGGATGAAACAGAAATAGAAAATGTTTTAAATAAGACACTAGAGGATCTTGGAGTGTGGCTTAATGTTAATTCACTTAAACCAAATGTTAAGAAGACTGTTTGTATGCTAGTTAGAGATAGAAGAAAAAGGAATGTTAAAAGTTTAGAATTGTTTTTGGCAGGGGAAAAGATTATGCAATGTAGTCAAACTAAATACTTAGGCGTAATGCTAGATGAATTCTTATGTTTTGATAGTCATACATATTATATTATTAAAAAAATTAATACTAGAATTAATTTGATGTACAGACTGAGTAGTTATGTAAGTGATTACACAAAAGTATTAATTTATAAATCGATGATCGCTCCGTATTTTGGCTATTGTTCAACTCTTTTGATTAATATTAATGAGGAATGTGTGAAAAAATTACAAAAATGTCAGAATAAAGCGATAAGAATAATATTAAGAGTAAATAGATATATACGCCAATTAGATGTATGTTAGATATGCACTATGTTTTCTGTCTGTTGAAGAAAGAATTAAATTTAATGTGTGTGTGTGTGTGTTTGTATATAAGATGAAAAATAACTTATTACCAGAATATTTAAATAGAATTGTTGTTGAGAATGAACATAATTATAGTACAAGATACAAAAATAAATTGTTGGTATACAAAGAACAAGAACTGTGAGTGCTCAAAAAATAATAAATATGTACCCGTGTAAAAAAAATCGTCTTAAAATTGTCGTTCATTTAAGATCTTAAACGTGACACAAACTAAGACTATTTTAAGACTCTTTTAAGATGCCAAAAAAAAAAAAAAATTCCGAGATTTTTTAACAATTATTTTGATTTTCTTAAGACGATTTTAAGATTTTTCTAAGACTATTTTAAGATTTAAGTTTTAAAATAATTTTTATATAGTCTTGAAAAACCTTAAAATAGTCTTAAAGAAATCTGAAAAAAAAATATTAAAAAATTTTTAGGCTATTTTCAGATAACATCACAGTGGCAGCTCCGGAAAATTATTATGGAGCGTCTTTAAATTGTCTCAAAATTATCTTAAATTAGTCTTAAAAAAATCTTAACAAAAAATTTAGACTATTTTAAGATGGGCTAACAGCGACAGAGCCCCGGAACATTAAAACGGAACGTCTTAAAAAAGTCTTAAAATTGTCAGATAATAATTTTTTAACAATTTTAAATTCAATTTAAAAACATCTTACTCAAAAATATTGCGGTTAGAAAGTCGTAAAATCATCTAAAAATTAATTTTCACAACAAATTCGAGAATAAAATTTTCAAAAATCTGCTCTCGGAATTTTTCTTTTGGCGTCTTAAAAGAGTCTTAAAATAGTCTTATTAGTTTGTGTCACGTTTAAGATCTTAAACGGACGACAATTTTAAGACAATTTTAAGACGATTTTTTTTACACGGGTATGGTTTTTCATTATTTAACAAGTTAAATATAGACACAAAAAATGCAAGAAATTTAGTAATTTTTAAAAAATTGTTAAGAGAAGAAATAAGAGAAGGAAAAATTTTAAATGTAGACGGGAAGCAAGTGTTGATCTGTAATAAAAGATCCAAGATCCAAGATCTTTTATATAATTTTTATGTATATATATTGTAGCTTGAAGCTAAATAAAGAAACTATTATTATTATTATTATTATTGTAAAATTACAATCTTAGTACATTTGCTAAAAGGTGTTGGAAAATTACATTGTATTTTATTTAGCAATGCAATACACTGATTTGTAATTTAACTTATTATTTGTTTTGTAATATGATTGTAATTTTACAAAAATTTTTAACAGTGTAGGAATTTACGGGGAATTAATTTTTTTGGGGACTTATACTTACTTCACCAAATCCTTCGAAACAACTTATACTCAAAGGCTGCCAATGAGACGTCATAACAAACATTAGACAAAATAAAGTTTCTGGCATAAGGCTATATACAAAAAGTACAGTATATCTTCTTTCAGTCCCTATAACTTGGACTCTTGCGCAAGTGACTCTTGCCATGCCTTCTTGTATTATTCTTCCTCTCATGATCCTTCTTTCAGCTGCTAATTTTCTCAAGCCATATTCTGCAAATTCAATCAACTCTGGCTCATCTCCCAGTTAATTTTAAATTATATGAATCTTTTTTTTCTTCACAAGTATAATTATTTGTTGAAAAAGACAAAGACAAGCTTGATGTTAAAATTAACGATATTAAAAATAACTTACACATTTTTATTTTATTTATTATTACCGATGACTTATTTTAAATCGAACAACTGATGATTGATAAAAAAAAATAAAATACTTTATAGAACACTTAATTTATCGTTTAGATAAAATTCTCAATTCGATTATTGGTTCATTTTTTTCCTTTGTCTTTTAACTAAATTGTTATTAAAGTAATTATAGTTGAAAAATTCCCAGACCACGTGATTTATTTAATGAACAGTGTCTTTAATTTGAGAATTACTTTAATTTTTTATAACATTAGGATGATTATTATTATTGTTATAAATAAGAAGAAATAAAATTTTTTAAGGAGTAAATTATTTAGTTACTAGAAAAATGGTGATAACTCCTAAAAAAATGATTTTAGGAGAAAATTATAAAACTAAAATTGTAGATTAGAAAATTTCCTATTAAAAATGTTTTTATACTTAGGAGTTATCTTTAATATTTTAGGAGTTATAGAAACTTTAGGCGTGATAACTCAGGGAAAAATACAAAATTGATATTTGATAACAATAAAATTGGTGATAACTCCAAAATATTGATTTAAGGAAAAAATTATGAGCTCAAAATTGTAGCTTAGGAAATTTCTTATTAAAAATGTTTTTCTACTTAGGGGTTATCTTCAATATTTTAGGAATTATAGGAACTTAAATAGTGATAACAGATCGAAAGTTACGGAACTAGTGTGTAGTTACTATAAAAATGACGATAACTCCTAAAATATTGATTTTAGGGAAAAACTATGAGACTAAAATTGTAGCTTAGGAAATTTCTTATTAAAAATGTTTTTATACTTAGGAGTTATCTTCAATATTTTAGGAGTTATAGAAACTTTAGGAGTGATAACTCCGGGAAAAATACAAAATTGATATTTGATAACAATAAAATTGGAAGAAATTTTTTATGAAAAATCTTTTTATACTAAGAAGTTATCTTCTATATTTTAGGAGTTATAGGAACTTTAGGAAGAATACAAAATTATTGTCTAATGACAATGACATTAAAATTGGTGATAACTCCTAAAATATCTATTTTAGGAAAAAATTATAAAAAACTAAATTTCTAGCTTAGAAAATTTCCTATAAAAAATATTTTTATACCACAGGGCTATTTTTAATATTTTAGGAGGTAATTTAAACAATGCTCCTAAATTCCTAAAATTTACTCCGAAATTAATTCTCGATAATTATTCAAGTTACTCAACATTTATAAATAAAATAAAAAAAAAACTTAAAATTTCAAAACAAATAATATTAATAAAAAAAAAGAGTTTCTATCTCCAATTACATGACATTCATTCAAGTGGGTCATGTATGAGTTGTACTTACTTCAAGTGTACTCGACTTACTTGTCCATATTTATCCTCGGAAAAATTTGTGTTAAATAATTAATTACACAACAAAAAAATTCCTTTAATAAAAAAAAAAAAAAAAAAATTCTAAATTTTTTTTTAATTAAAAAGTTTCAATTGAAGAATTTAAATTAAACAATCGGTTTAATAAATAGCATTGTGTGCAATTGGGTCATATGCTCTTCTGCCTTTGCTATTACTCGGTAGGCGCTTTATTATTGTTATTATTTTTATTGTATACCTCCAAGATGATTTTATTGTGAAGCTAGAGATAAAATGAATAAAATTGAAGGTGGGGGCCGGGATAAAGGTCGGTGATGCATTCGGCTCGATTTCTTATTTTTTTTTTATTTTTTCCAATTATCTTCGCTCGGTGGAGCCTGCAGTGAGGAGTCATTTTGGCTCGCTTTTCAACGAATTCTATAGTTACGAGGTCATTAATTAATATTTAATTGGAAATTTAAGAAAAAAATTAAATCGCGGGTCGTTTAATTAAAGATAACTCGCGAACTATTCAATTTAGGATAAAATAGTGAAAGAATTTGGATAGGAAATTTTTTAAGCTACAATTTTAGTTTTTTATAATTTTTTCATAAAATTAATATTTTAGGAGTTATCACCACTTTTATTGTCATTAGATACTAATTTTGGATTTTTCCTAAAGTTATCACTCCTAAAGTTCTTATAACTCCTAAAATATTGAAGATAACCCCTAAGTACAATAACATTTTTTATAGAAAATTTCCTAATCTACAATTTCAATCTTATAATTTTTTCCTAAAGTCATTATATTAGGAGTTATCACAACTTTTATCATCACCAAATATCAATTTTGTATTTTTCCCTGAGTTATCACTCCTGAAGTTCCTAGAATTCCTAAAATATTAAAGATAACCCCTAAGTACAAATACATTATTAATAAGAAATTTTCTAAGCTACAATTTCGGTCTCATAGTTTTTCCGTAAAATCAATATTTTAGGAGTTATCGTCATTTTTATGATAATTAATTTTATCACTATAACTCCTAAAATATTGAAGATAACTCCTAAGTACAATAAAATTTTTCATAGAAAATTTCCTAATCTACAGTTTAGGACTCATAAATTTTTCCTAAAATTAATATTTTAGGAGTTATCACCACTTTTATTATCATTAAATAATAATTTTATTTTTTTCCCTGAGTTATCACTCCTAAAGTTCCTAGAACTCCTAAAATATTAAAGATAACCCCTAAGTACAAATACATTATTAATAAGAAATTTTCTAAGCTACAATTTTAGTCTTATATTTCCTCTCAAATTATTATTTTAGGAGTTATCACGACTTTTATTATCATTAAATAATAATTTTGGATTTTTTCCTAAAGTTATCACTCCTAAAATTCCTATAACTTCTAAAACATTAATGATAACTCCTAAGTATACAACTAATATTTTTCATATGAAATTTCTTAATCTACCATTATAGTCTTATATTTTTCTCCTAAAATCATTATTTTAGGAGTTATCACCATTTTTACTGTCATTAGATAATAATTTTGTATTTTTCCTAAAGTTATCACTCTTAAAGTTCCTGTAACTTCTAAAATATTGAAGATAACCCCTAAGTATAAAAACATTTTTCATAGCAAATTTCCTAAGCTACAATTTTAGTCTTATAATTTTTTCCTAAAATCATTATTTTAGAAGTTATCACTACTTTTATTGTCATTAAATATCACTTTTGAATTTTTCTTTGGGTTATCACTCCTAAAGTTCCTATAACTCCTAAAATATTGAAGATAACCTCATAGTATAAAAACATTTTTCATAGTAGAAAATTTCCTAATCCACAATTTTCTCCTAAAATAATTATTTTAGGAGTTATCACCATTTTTCTATCAACTAAATAATTTACTACATAAAAAATTTAATTTTTTTCTTATTTATAGCAATAATAATAATCATCGTAATATTATAAAAAATTAAAGTAATTCTCAAAATAAAGACACTCAAGTTCATTAAATAAATCACGTGGCATGGGAATTTTTCAACTAATTACTTTAATAAAAATTTTATTTAAAGACAAAGGTAAAAAATGAACGATTAATCGAATTAACAAGAGTTATCTAAAAGATAAATTAAGTGTTTTATAAAGTGTTTTAATTTTTTTTATCAACCCTCAGTTCTACAATTTAAAAAGTCACCGGGAATAATTAATAAAATAAAAATGTATAAATTATTTATTTTAATATCGTTAATATTAACCACGAGCTTGTCTTTGTCTTTTTCAACAAATAATTATACTTGTGAAGAGAAAAAAGATTTATATGTATTACAATTAAATAGAAATGATCCAGATGTGGTTAAATTTGTCGAAGATGGCTGGAAAAAATTAGTCGCTGAAGGAAAGAACCGCCGGTGAAACTAACCTAATAGATTTTGGTGTACATTGCGCAAAAGTTCAAGTTGCAGGCACTGAAAGAATATACACTATACTTACTAGATATACGAGCGAATCACTTATAACAATATTAATTTGTGTTATATTTGTTATGACGAGTCAAGCGGAGCCTATGAGTTTACTTTGTCATGACTTTTACAATAGGGTAAGTCAGTGTTAAAAATTTTTGTAAAATTACAATCATATATTAGAAAATAGAAATAAAATACAATTCATGTAATTTTCCAACACCTTTTAGCAAATCTACTAAAAGATTGTAATTTTACAAAATCTTCATGTATAAACCTAACACGCATTGTAATATTACAATTGGTCAATTTTTAAAAAAAAGCTTTTTAATTTTGCAAACATTATTTGTCATCTGATTCTTAATTCTATGTAAAATCACAAAAAAATATTGTAATTTATATTACAATAATCTGATAAAAAATTTAAAAATCTTTTTTTTATTTTTACAAATTTTCATTGTAAAATTACAGTGCAATGTAATGTTACCAGACAATTTTAATTATACTACACGAATTGTAATTCTACTTGACTGTTTTCCAATTTTAAAAACAATACTTTTAAGTTTTACAAAAATGAGACTGATGTATCGAAAAAACAACAATGTCCATGATATTTATTTTAACTAATTTGTTAGTCTAAGTTTATTTGTAATAATAAATTCGAGGCATCATTTATCTTTTATAAATTTTAATATTACGCTCAAACGATCATTTCCAAATCAATATATTTTAATGAGTATACACACGGAAAGAACACGATTTATACTGGATATAATCCCAGATTATACTGAGTGAAACAAATTTCAGATAGTAACTAGTATAATTCAGATAACAATGAGTATAATCCAGATATTATTCAGTATAATCTGGATTATACTAGCTACAATCTGAAATTTTTTTCACCTCAGATGTCACTGAGTATAATCTGAGATGGTATCCAGTGTCATTTTGTTCTTTCCGTGTATGTTAGACGTTTAATTTTTATAATATTCAATGAATTATAAATAATGTAAAAGTTATAGTTATTTTCCATCAATAAACAGCATCAAATAACACAAATAATGTAAATAATAAATAATAAGCCCAAATTGAGTAAAGCTCAATCACCACATAGGATTAGCTTGTAAGAATAATAAGATGTTAAATCTTATCTATCGGTCGTACGGCGTAGGGCGTTAGGTATCGATCTGGCAAGCGCGCGGCTCAAGTTCGATTCTTAGTTAGGGTATATATTATTTGTCACTTTATATCATCAGAGTTGTAAAAATTAGGTCTACGTAAGATGCAAAATCTAGTGAGCGCTTCATAAAAATAAAATGACAACAAATATTAAATCAAATCTTTCTTTTTTATTATTTCAATTAAAGTAAAATTCAAGGAGAGAATTGTAATTTTACAAACTTAGCTAATCTAAAAATATTTGTTAAAATTACAAAACCTTGTAAAATTAGTAACCTCACATATGTTTTGCAATATTACTACCCGATTGTAATTTTAAATAAATGTTTTGCCTATTAGCTTCCAATAGATTTCTTGTAAAATTACAATAGAAATTTTTAACAGTGATATGAGTTCTCGATAAAATTTTTCCTTCCACTAATTTTATCTTTTCTTCCCGATAAAATTATAATCATGATTGTATAATGGTTTGTTTCAGGACGATAATAACATCCCGGCTAATCGCGAGCAACGTGATTTGTTTAACCTCTTCTTCTACAACAAGCAATTCTGTCCTAGAAAATACTAACTATCGCTTTTCTGTAAAGTGGATTGTGTAAGATATTTATTTTAATTTAATAATAAAATTTTCAAACATTTAGAATACAATTATTATTAATAGGAAATTTCCAAAAATACAAATTTAGTTTCTTATGATTTTTCCCTAAGCATCAGATAATAATTTTATATTTTTCCTTCTAAAGTATATGTTATCACTCCTAAAGTTCCTATAACTCCTAAAATATTGAAGATAACCCCTAAGTACAAAAACATTATTAATAAAAAATTTCCTAAGCTACAATTTAGGTTTGATAATTTTCTCCTAAAATCAATATTTTAGGAGTTATCACCACTTTTATTGTCATTAGATAATAATTTTGTATTTTTCTCTGAGTTATCACTCCTAAAGTTCCTATAACTCCTAAAATATTGAAGATAACCCCTCAGTACAAAAACATTTTTAATGAGAAATTTCCCAAGCTACAATTTTAGTCTTATAATTTTCTCCTAAAATCATTATTATAGGAGTTATCACCATTTTTATTATCATCAAATATCAATTTTGTATTTTTCTCTGAGTTATCACTCCTAAAATTCCTATAACTCCTAAAATATTGAAGATAGACCTACAATATAAAAACATTTTTTGTAGGAAATTTGCTAAGCTATAAAAAAGGTCTCTTAATATTTTTCGATAAATTAAATATTTATCAATATAATTGAAATTTAAAATAAAATATAGGGTTTTTTCTTTGTATTTGATGGAATTTAAAGTTTTGTTATAATTTATAGCTTTTAAAGGAGTATTGATGGGTAATTAAGGTACGTGAGGTACTTAAGAACCCAGTAGGTATGTGTCCTGGGCATGTTCGGTGAATTTAGCTCGCAAAAAGTGAGTGCGTTGACCTCAAGAAAAATGTAAGCGAAATAACCAGCTGTAAACACTACCGATAATATTTATAATTATTATTATTATTATTATTATTATTAATATTGGCCCGGACCAGATGGCCCGAGATCCTCACAGTTTAACCAGGGGAGTCGTTGCGTGCTCTCAGGTAATTTCAAAAAGTAATCTCTGTAATTGCTGGGTTGCTAAAGAAATAAATAATCTTGAAAAATTTTTCACGAGCAATAATCATGGCATCTAAGTTATGTTTTTCCTCAATTCTAGGTTTAATATTAATTTTATAAAAAAAATAATTGAAATAAAAGTTAAAGAGAATTAAATTTCCTACAATTTTTATTTCAAAAATTTTTTTCTATCTTTAATCGTTTTTTTATAATTATCAAACGAAATTTCAAGGTCATATTATTTCGAATTTTAGGATTTTTTAATTTCTATCGGTATAATTCATTCGCGTAGTGAATTATTTTTGTACAGGACTGATTTTTAAGCTCCCTCATGGATAAACAATCAAAAAAATTCAAAATTTCAAAAAATCGGCCAAATTCGATTTCCGTGATTTTGCATTTTTTGCGATTTTTTCTCCGAAAAAGTTTGCCGTTTCACTTTAAATTAAAAGAAAACCAAATTTTCTACATGAATATTTGCGATAAGAGGTAATTTTAACCGTGCGAACCTTAAAAGGGTAAGTTGGTCACGTTAAACACCCTAAAGGTATCCTTAGGCTATCAAACCCCGGCTAATTTGATATTCTACCGGTCTAATTCTTCTGCACAGGGAATTATTTTTATGCCGGGCTGATTTCTAAGCCTTCTGATTAATAAACAATTAAAAAAATTCAAAATTTTCAAAAATCGTCCAAATTCGATTTCGGCGATTTTGCATTTTTTGCGATTTTTTCCAAGAAAAACTACTTGGATTCTCTGCCAAATTTAAGAAAACTTAGGTCTCAGCTTGCGGAAGTAGGAACAGTCCAAATATAGACCTTGCGAGCCTGAAAAGGGTAAGTTGGGCCAGAAGAATAATTCCATAATTTTCCAAATACGGAAAAAACTGCAAAAAAACGCTAAAAATTGCTATTTTAAATTTAAAATTAAAGCTTAGCTATAATAAAAGTCTAAAAATAAAAACATTTAAAAAAGAATTTTTTTAACAAAGCTCAGCATTTATTTCCGACAAAAAAGAAAAAAAAAACTTGACATAAATTTATATATTTATATTTAATATTTTCTTTTTATATTCCTAACAAAACACAAAACCTGCACTTAATCACGCCCGCGCAAGTAACAATGACCCTCTTGGCTTGAATAAAAAAAATAAAATAACTTTCACTAACCAAAAAAAAAAAAGGTTTTGTGTATTTTCACTTGCAGAAAATAAAATAAAAAAAAAGATATATAATTAATAATGCTCAGCACGATCCTCCTCTAGTTTGTATTACGTGAGCTGAAACGATTTGCAAACGATCCTCGGATAATCGATTCACCTTTACCGAGGAATTTTTTATCCCCTTAAGCATTTTTTTTATTACTGCTCATCTTAATCCGTTTTTTTTTTTTTTTTTTTAATCTGTACCATCAATTTTTATTTTTTTAAGCGAAAAAATTTTTTTTTTCGCAGTAAGTTTGTAAATTTTACTTGGAAGTAAATTGAGTGATTAGTAGGGAGATATTAATGACAATAACTTCTAAAATATTGATTTTAGGAGAAAATATTTTATACTATGGCTGATATTGTTATCTGCTGGAGCCATATATAGTGAATGTAGGAAAAAATCGGTTTGATATATAACAAGTATAGTGTATCGTCTTTCAGTGTCTACAATTTAGACTTTTCCGCAGACGATATAATAATTGCCTCTCTCAGTAGTTGCTTTGTCTGAATCTTCAGCGCATAATTTGTTCCAGCCATTTTCAACGAATTTAACCACATCTGGATCGTTTTCACTTAATTGTAATTCGTATACATAATTTTTTTCTTCACTATTACAATTGTTTATTAAAAAAGAAAAAAATAAGCTTGATGTTAAAATTAACGATATTAAAAATAATTTACACATTTTTATTAATTATTCCTTATATTGCCGGTTGCTTCTCAATCGAACAACTGAAGACTAATGAAAATAATAAATACTTTATAAAAATATATTTATCTTTTAGATAAACTCTAAATTTGATTATTGGGTCATTTTTTTTTCTTTATCTTTAAATAGGTTATATTATAACCCGTACTGAAAAAAAAATATATGCCGCAGTAAATAATTTATTTACTAGAAAAATGGTGATAACTCCTATAATAATTATTTTAGGAGAAAATTTTTAATCAAAAATTGTAGCTTAGAAAAATTCCTATAAAAAATGTTATTGTAATGAAGGGTTATCTTCAATATTTTAGGAGTTATAGGAACTTTAGGAGTGATAACTCAGGAAAAAATACAAAATTGATATTTAATGATAATTAAAATGTTGATAACTCCTAAAATAATGATTTTAGGAGCAAAATTATAAGACTCAAATTGTAGCTTAGGATATTTCCTATAAAAAACGTTATTGTACTGAAGGGTTATCTTCAATATTTTAGGAGTTATAGGAACTTTAGGAGTGATAACCCAATAACAAACCTAAAATAATTTAACAGTTACCATAAAAATGGTGATAACTCCTAAAATAATACTCTTAGGAGGAGTTATTGGAGCTTTAGAAGTGATAACTTAAAGAAAAATTCACAATTATTATCTAGTGACTGTAAAAGTAGTAATAACTCCTGAGATATTGATTTTGAAAAAATTATAAGAGACTAAAATTATAGCTTAGAAAATTTCCTATGAATAATGTTTATGTACTATGGGGTTATCTTCAATATTTTAGGAGTTATAGGAGTGATAACTTTAGGAAAAATACAAAATTATTATCTAATGACTATAAAAGTGGTGATAACTCCTAAAGTATTGATTTTAGGAGAAAATTATGAGACAAAAATTGTAGCTTAGGAAATTTCCTATTAAAAATGTTTTTATACTTAGGGGTTATCTTCAATATTTTAGGAGTTATAGGAACTTTAGGAGTGATAACTCCTAAAATATTGATTTTAGGAGATAATTATAAGACAATAATGGTAGCTTAGAAAATTTCCTATCAATAATGTTTTTATACTATAGGGTTATCTTCAGTATTTTAGGAGATATAGGAATTTATATAGCAAAGTAATCTTAGGAAATAAAAAATTATGAATAAGTTATAAAAATGGCGATAACTCCTAAAATAATGATTTTAGGAGAAAATTATAGGATACTAAATTTTTAGCTTAGGAAATTTTCTACAAAAAATATTATTATATTATAGGGTTATCTTCAATATCTTAGGAGATATAGTAACTTAAATAGTGATAACAAATCAAAAATTACAAAATATTGTCGAGTTACTATAAAATTGAAGATAACTCCTAAAATATTGATTTTAGGAGAAAATTATAGGAATACAAAATTGCAGCTTAGGAAATTTCCTACAAAAAATGTTCATATACTATAGAGTTATCTTCAATATTTTAGGAGTTATAGGAACTTTAGAAGTGATAACCCAAAAAAAAATACAAAATTATAATTTAGCTTCTTAAAAATCAAAATTTGTCTATTTTAAAAATCATACTTCAAAGTGAATTGAGTAATCAGTATAAGATGACAAGCAAGAAGATAATTATATAAAATTAATTACAATAGTAATTACAGCTTTAACATTAATTATGATTACAATAATAATTATAATTGGCTTTAGTGTAAATAGATGACTGATAATTTTCTCTTGTTGCTCAAGAATTATTTTAATTCCTTCTTTCATTTCTTGGCCTCGTGAATTAAACGCCGGACATATTTATCGGCATTGAGCCCCAATTAAGAAGGAAGCGGATGAAAAATGCGATTCGCCGTTCGTTCCGTTCTGGATATTGTTCATTTTATAAATTAAACCGCTTTTTAATTTACTTACACATGCTAGTCCTTGTCTTTGAATAAAAAAAAAAAATTTTCACTTAAAAAAAATTGAGAATAAATTTGCTGCCTTTTTTTTTAAAAGGGATTTAAATGAAATTTTCCATTTTCAATCCGCTTAACCTCGTGATCTAATTTTTTCAGATCATTGCCTTGATGTGTGGTGAAAGGATGCTCTCCAATCCATATACACTTGTAATCATTATAACAATGATGGTAATAATAATAATAATTAACAATTGTGAAAATTTCGATGTTTTTTCCGTTTTTTTTTTTAATTTAAGGAAAATCTATCGATTTTTTTGGAAATTTTTTCTTACACAGTTATAGAGGGTTCAATTTTGTACAACTTTTGTTTGATAATTTTTTTTATGCGGCCAATAGGAGAGCCAGAATTTTAATTTGAAAAAAAAAGTTTTTTTTTCCGAAAAATATGACCTTGAAATTTCAATCCAAAATTCTGAGTAAACTATTGAGTTTACAAAAAAATGTCTTAAATAAAAATTATAGAGGGTTCAATTCTCTACAATTTTTATTTAATAATTTTTTTTATGCGGCCGATAGGAAAGCCAGAATTTTAATTTAAAAAAAAAAGTTTTAAATAAAAATTATAGAGGGTTTAATTCTCTATAATTTTAATTCTAAAATTTTTTTGTAAACCTTATAAGAAAGCTATAATTTAAATTTATTTAGGTTCAAAGTATAAACAAGAAAAATCAATTAAAAAAATCACGACTCCCCGCAAAAAGGTATTTATTAAAACTAAAAAGACATTAAAAAACTTTCTCTCGGTTTGTTATAATGGAGAAAGCCAAATGATTATAGAGTTTCGATTACAGAGGGAATAAATTTAATAAATATTTATTATTTATTATTCTTGAGTACTTAGCTCAGTAATTACAGCACTTTTATATATGTTTATTAAACGCTCAATAATGTAATTACAATAATAAAGTAGTAATGAATATTTAACAATCGCATGAGTCATACCTGTATGTTATATCTCTATAATAGAAATTATCCTCTATTATTTATATATGCACATATAAAGATAAATATATAAGAGACCCGACTTTCCTCCCTTTAGTTCTCTTTATTTAATTCTTTATCCCCTCTTTTCCTCCAAACGGCTACCGGGTCCCTTTCTACTTGCTCGACAGTTCCGCGAGCAACGAACTACGGACAATTAACACTAAAAAGAGAAGAAAAGTTAAGTATCTCGAACAATAACAGTTGTGTATTAAGTACACAATATGTTTATGATTTCGAAAGTGAGAGCGGGCTCTAAACCAGCCCCATCTAATGCGATCAAATACCGCGGCCTCATCATCACAATCATCCACTGTCTCACTGTCTAGTCAAGTAGTCGTTACCGTGCGCTAATTTGGTGAAAGTTTCTGCTGGGTCTCATTAAAAAAAAAGAGTTGGCATTTCAAAATCATATACAGGCGTTGGCTTGCAGGTATCAACGCTCTGAAACGTTTCAAAGTTGGAAGAATTGCGTTAGATGCTTCTAAAGATACCTTTAAAGCTACTGGTATGCCCAACTTACCCTTTAAAGGTTCGCAGGGTTAAAATTTGCCCTTATCGCAAATTTATACATGAGAAACTAGGTACTCTCTTAATTTAAAGTAAAACGGCAAACTTTTTTGAAGAAAAAATCGCAAAAATACAAAATCACGGAAATCAAATTTGGACGATTTTTGGAAATTTTGAATTTTTTTGATTGTTTATTCATCAGGGGGCTTAGAAATCAGCCCTGCATAAAAATAATTCACTGTGCGAAAGAATTAGACCGGTAGAATATCAATTTAACCGGGTTTTGATAGCCTAAGGATACCTTTAGGTTGTTTAACGTGTCCAACTTACCTTTTGAAGTTTGTTACGGTCAAAATTACCTCTTATCGCAATTACGCATGTAGAAAACTAGGTTCTCTCTTAATTTAAAGCAGAACGGCAAACTTTTTCTCAGAAAAAAATCGCAAAAGATGAAAAATCACGTAATTCGAATTTGAAAGATTTTTGGAAATTTTGAATTTTTTTGATTGTTTATTCATCAAGGGGCTTAGAAATCAGCCCTGCATAAAAATAATTCACTAAGCGAATGAATTATACAGGTAGAATATTAAATTATCCTGGTTTTGATAACCTAAGGATACCTTTTGCGTGTTTATAGTGTCCAACTTGCCTCAAAATGACTTTTTGGCCAAAGTAGCCCTTGTAAATCACTTAGCAGGTGAAAAACAAACTTCCTTGAGACTGCAAAGCAAATTGACCGACTTTTTCCGCGAAAAAAATCCGAAAAAACACGAAATGACAATTAACGAATTTCACAAATTCGGAAAGTTTCGTAACTTTAAATGCATGTAAACCTGAGAAATGGTTGTTGAGATAATGACCATAACCGTTAGACGTTCATTTCCCCAGTGACCTTGTAATAACATATTCCATCGGAAGTGCAATAGATGTTCTCCGTGATATTTAAAATAGAAATAGTATCTGATATTGTTTTACTGGACATAAACCGCGAATTGGTCCCGATCCCGGTGACCTTGAATCTTGTGGGCATTGGAGACCTCTCTGGGCGTGTAATGGCCTCGTACGACAACAGGAAGGAGGAAGAAGCAGTAAGTAGTAAGTAAGTAAGTATAGTGTTTACTTGAGTGTGTGTTGTGTGACGGAGGACCGAGGACGGTCGTCTCGCCGACTGTTGAGGGGCCCCCGGACCCTTTCCCTCTCCAGATGCCCCTTTCGCGACCCCACTCCTCAAGGCAAAAGTGCCAGAAGACACAACTCAGTTTCCTGAGCGCGTGAGACCACGTTCATTCCTGGTCAGTACTCCGGATGGTCGTTTGTTAATTTTTATTTAAGAGTGATGATTTTCGTACCTGTAATTCGTATTATTCGCGGGTGCTGTGTTTAAATTATTATTTTGGGGATTGGGTTTAAAATTTTTAGTGAGTGGAATGAACAGATAATAGCAGAATAATATCACGCATATGGGGTAATTATCATTAATTATTATTATTATAATTTATTACTGTCATTAATATTAATTTTTATTGTTATAAAGACTG